ATATGTAGGTCGGTGAAATGGATATTATAAATCATACAACCAAAGATGTTTGTAAATTAAAATATTTTCAGTATAGCTATTTTTCAAAAGATGTTCCACGTAAAGTAACCGGTGTTGTAACTGATTCAAATGGTCAAGCTCGATGGGTACTATCAGGTACATGGACAGAAAAGATTGAAGGTGGTCCTGTAGAAGCAACATCAGGTCGTCATACACATTCTCATCATATGGAAACTCATAATATGAAAGTTTTATGGCAACGTCGAATGCCACCAGCATATCTTGAAAAAATGTATAATTTTACTGAACTTGCTATTGAAATAAATGAAGAGGAACCTGATGTTGCACCAACGGATTCTCGTCGTCGTCCTGATCAACGTTTAATGGAAGAAACACATTGGGATGAAGCAAATCAAGAAAAATTACGTCTTGAAGAAAAACAACGAGTAGTACGAAAAAATCGTGAAGCACAAACAGGTGGAGTTGATTTATATAAATCTAAATGGTTTAAAAAACAATATGATCCACTTACGGATTCGGAAATGTATATGTATACAAATGAATATTGGGAATGTAAAGCAAAACAAGATTGGTCAAGATGTGATGATATATTTTAACAAAAAAAAAAAAAAAGAAAATATTAATTACCTAAATCATCTATTTGTGTTTTTCTCGTTTGAGTTCCTTTTTCTTTTTTTTTATTTATTATTTAATAGAAAACCGTTTTTTTTCTCTCTCTCCATATATATTTATTGTCTACTTATATTCATTGCTTTCTTATAACCGTGAGTTTTTTTTTACGAAAGATAAGAATGTGTATAAACCAAAAAGAAAAAAAGAGGGGTGAAAGAGAAAAGTAACCAACAAGTTCTATAACTCTTGTTTTTATTCCTTAATCAATATTTTAGATGGGATAGAAAATAAGAATGAATAAACAATAAGATAATCTTATTTTGTTTTGATTGATTTATTTTAATTTTTCAATAATGATTAAGTTTATGTTGGTTATTGTTATTTTTTATTATTCAATAATGAAAAATCTCGCTTTTGGTATGTGTTAAATAAATTTCGTAAAATAGAATTCAACATTTTTCTTCTTTAAAACATGATAAATCAACAAAAAAATATATTCTATTCTGTTTTGATTTCGAGCACCCATAAATGTTATCTTAATTTAGGATACAAGATTGGAGAAAGCTATTCTCGTATCCGTATATTTGAATTTACTGATTATTCCGATGTTAAATTTCTTAAATTCAATATATATGATCCAGCAATAATAGCTAATTGGTCGCTTACTGTTGATACCGATGGAAAATGTAACAATTATTTTCCGAATATTCATTTGTATAGTAGATTTAATTTGTTTTCTTTTAATAAGTCAATAAAAATTTGTTGTTTTCTTTTTCAATCAGTTATCTTCAATATAATGCTTATCCATTGATTGCTCCACAGAATGAATCATTTCCTGATACATATATATCTACTCGTCATGATCTAATCACAACCATATTTAATCGAACAATATCCAATGGAACAATTCAATTAGATAATCCATTAAGAGGAACATGGTTTGCTATGGTAACGAAATAAAAACTCTAAAGAAATTTGTATTTAACAATTAAATCTTCGTAGATATTTGTTGAGCGACCACCGATTAATATCAAATCTAGAGTATGTTAATAATTCTTTGAATTAGTTTTAATCTGAATATATAATATTCAGACATCTTCAAGTAGTTGTAATATTTATCTAACAAGTTGGCTTAATTATCTAACAGTACCGGTTTTATTAACACTAACTACTGACCAACCACTTCAGATTATTTTGTCTAATTACACAACAATTGTTTATGCATCGTAAGGATTGTACTAATATGTTTACTGGAGCATCTAGTTTAGATCTATTATAATTTGGATATATTAGCAATTCTTTTTCTCATTTAGATATTATACAACAATAGGTAATTCTCGATTTACGATTCTATCTGAATGGTCTTCTAACTGTGATTTAATTATTCTCACTCGAATCAATGGATTACCAAACTCTTCTCAATATGATTATCGCACTGGTTTGTTCTACAGAAGAAAAAATCTTTTTTTTTATAATATTACATTTTTTTCCAGTATGTAAGAACGGCACATGTTCGATAGAAATTGATCAAATAGCTGCACATATTTGGATCTATTTTCAAATCTCCATAACTAATTTATCATGTATAAATAATCCTATTCATGGTATTATGATTATTCGTGCAACAGGTTATTAATTCCAAAAGATTATTTCCATTCCAAAAAAAATCTTTTTCTTAATTAGAATGTTCCTTTCATTCAAATAATAACAATTGTATTCAATCTTATCCAACACGACGTATTATGTTTAATTATTATTATGATTATTTATATGTATCAAGTTATACAAATAATAGTATTAATACAATAGTATTAGATAGAAATAATCTATCTATTTATTCATATGAATTTATTGTTGATGATAGAAATATTGGTGGAACAATACATTTGGATTTTGAAACTCATATTAAAGTAAATATTAAGTTATATCAGTGCGTTATCTAAGTTTCTTTTCTTGAGCGGGCAGCGCCTACTCTCTAGATAAAACACTGAGTTATATATATTTGATAGAAATCTTATTCTTTTTTTTTAGCGTTTATTATGTTGCACTCTGGAGTGCTTACATTAAGAGGACAGATAAATGGGACAAAATATGACGAAATACAGAAAAAAAGGGAGAATAATAAAAAAAAGGAGTAGAAGAAAAAAGGAGATGAAAAGTGGAGAGGTATCCGTGTGCCAACAGTCATTTCCTGGGTTATCTGTCTTACTCACGTTCCATATCATTGCTCACCGATATTAGAGGAGAGGGTTTAAGTTTGCGTAGTGTTTTTATGGGGTCGCAAAGGGGATCCACCTAATCAGCCAGGACTCGTGCCTTTGCATCATTTTCGTAACTCTTTTCAACCTGAAGAAATGTCCAACCCCATCGTTCTTCCTTTTCTTTCAAGCTTTCCATTGGAAGATATCCTCTAAAAAGGGGGATTGGCCAAGGTCTGATTTATTTACCTTCAATAGTTGCTTCTTAATATATTTTTTTGCATAGAACTGCAAGGAAGCCTCCTTGGTAAACGTATGCAGGTCTGCGGCTGCCACGTAGGGGCATCGATGAGCTATTCTAGTTCCGACTCTTAGCTTTCTGTCCAGCGCTTCCTTCTGATCTTTGGAGAGAAAGGGGTACATCGGGAAGATCGAGGCCAAGTGGGGCAAGACGTAGGTGAAAAGGCACTGGCGCAGCACTTGTTGGGAAATTATCCTACCTCGTGTTAACCATCTTAGCTTTGCTAGAGCCCGGTCTGCCTTTTACAAACAATTGTTCACGGTCGGTTCTAGGGACAACTTACTCGTCCACGTAAACCCAAGGTATTTGAAACTTTTAACCATTTCCAATACCTTGTCGTTAATGTGGACTACTACCTCTGGGCACGCGGGTTGAGAGTGGAACACCTGCCCTACTGTTTTCTGCACATTGAGTGGTTGTCTCCATTTCTGTGCATAGGCTATAACTTCCTTACACACCCTTGTTCCCTCTCTCCCCAAATATTCCAGCGTAGGTGCAAGCTTCTTGACGATGGGTGCCTTCACCAGGATACAGAGATCGTCGGCGTACGCATGTACCGGGTGCGCTCCTGCGCAAAGGGTTATGTCGCTGTGATAGACGATGAAAAGGTATGGGTTAAGGCTACTCCCTTGTGGGAGGCCTATGTCGATGTTAAAGGGCTCGGACTTTTCCTCTCCGAAAACGATGTATCCTTTCCTGTCCTTCAGCCATGATACCGTCATTTTCAGCAGTTCCAGAAATCTTATTCTTTCTAGTCTTCTCTATCATCAAATGTAACTGTTAATATTCTTGGATGTTTATCAAAAAATCAACCACGTCGATATAATATATGTGAAAATGATTATAAAATTCTTATTGATAAAAATTCATCTACAATTCGATCATTACCTTATCCAGAAATGGCTCTTTGGTATTTAACATTCGAATATATTTGCAATGGGTATAATTTTTAAATCAATAATTGAATTGAAATAATATGATTTGTTTTTTGTTTCAGTTCAAATAATGAATGTGATAATAGATCAATGTCGATTACATTTCAAATTTCATCATCACAATGTACTCGACAAAAATGTGGATTATATGGAATTTGTAGAATAATAACATCACCACAACAAAATATGTATTCTACTTGTGCGTGTGTTGCTGGTTAGTAAAGCATATAACAAAAACGTATAAATTAATATAACACCTTTAGGTTATCGTGGCTATGGTTGTACTGATAATACTTATGCTCGTGTATCAAGATATTTACCAAGTGTACTTTTTTTAACACTTAGTAATTTAATGTTTATACCTGCCATAATCTTAGCAATTTATTATCGTTTATATATTGAAGCACTGGTCTATTTTTTCAATATGTTTTTTTCAACTGTAAGTTTCCTTTTATTTTCTATTAAGAAAGAAAGAATTCTTTTTTTAATTAAGTTTTATCATGCCTGTGATCAAGAAATTCGTAGATTTTGTATATTTAAATATGATGGTTTACAACTATCAGATTTTGTTACTTCATATTCATCATTTATTATAACATTAATTACAATGTCAATATTATCACGATCAATAAAAGCATTTCTTTTTATATTAGGGATATTACTATGTGTTGTATTTAATTCACGTGATCGATTTGATAATATACAATTCATGACTTTACTTATTATTACATCTGGTTTTACTATTTTAACATGGGTAAGTAAAATAAGAATCATCTTGGATTTTGTAAAAACTGTTCATTTTAGATTGTTGTTTCAATAAAAGAACGTCGTATACAACCATCTTGTAAAAAACTTCTATGTATTGCACCTGGATTTGTATTATCAATTGCAGGAATTATTCTATTTGTATTTGTTGCAACAGATGATAATTATTGGTATACACATAGTTTATGGCATATATTTATGGCAATTTCAATTCTGTTTTTTCTTCCACAGAGAATCGGTGAGAAATTTATTAGAAATGAAAGAGTTAAACAAAACTTTCTAAGTCTGTTGATAAGGGAAGACAAGACTTGAGATTATTATCCGATTTTTAAATATATACGAAATAGATTATTGCCCAGGACGATGGTTCCTGACGCAAGATTCCGTGAATTTCCAGCAAAATCTCTGAAGAAACTCGCCATTTCCAAACGGAACCTGCTCGGAAAATGCCAGGAATCCGATAGAGAAGTGAGGTAACCGTATCCGGCTGCCGGTTTTGATATGTTCGTGTCGCTTCCGGTCCAAACCAGGTAAATCCGGTCACCGGATCCGTTCAACAGGAATACTGCTTCCATGAAACCTTCGGAATGCCATGGAACCGGCCGTTTCCGTGTCGGATTGTTCGACCTGGGTGATAGTAAAATCTTGTGATCTAGATTCAACCATGAATGATCATATTTAAGATATTTGAGAGAAGAAAGTTGAAAGAATTTAAATCCGCAAGCAATTGATTGTGAGTATGTACAAAATGACTTCTCCATCAACTGATCATTCAATTGTCTCTTATCTTAGTATACCCTACTGAATGAACAAAGCGAAGATAGATACATCAACTCTTTCTCTGATCAGATTCGACCAATCGAATATTTTCTTTCATAGGAAAAATTTCGAATCGAACTTTTGTTTTGGTCTAAATAATTATTTTTTATTCTAGGACAAAAGAAACGAAGCAATACATCTACTGAACTAAATACAGTTACATCTGCCGGTATTATAAATGAAGGAGTACTATTACCAGATGTTGAAATAAACAATCAAATAGATATAAACAATACTTCTACTACAGCTTAATGTGATTTTTATAAAATATTTAAATTTTTTCGTTATATATTTTTTAAAATTTAATTACAGATGTCGCTACTTTATGAATTTGTATCAAAATTATTTTTAAAAACAAATAAAAGTTTTTTTTTGTAATAAATTATTCATAAATATAAATAAATAAAATTTAAAAGAAATCTTATAGAATAATTTCATTATTGGTTAATTCAATTATCAAATCACACGATCAGTTCTTTGTTAGAAATAAATTTGAATAAGTACAAAACACCCACACCTATATCTCTCTATCTGACACACCCATAATACGTGGCTTTACTAGAACTATTCATTTAATCTCCAATGATTTTTTATTTACTTTAAATAAACGATTCTATTTTTCTTTTTATAGATTTTACAATATGTGTACATATCACGGAATTCTAGAGGAATACCCTCTTATATCTATTGATTCATTTGAAACTCATAATTATACAAGCACAATGTTTTTTATTACACATATTCATATGGATCATCTTGTTGGTCTTGAACGACCAGAATTTGGTCGATATGTTGCAAAAATTAATGCATCAATTTATATGTCAGAAATTTCTAAACAACTATTAAGTACGATGGCACCTTATCGACATTTAATACCATATTTCAAAACAGTTCCTATTGATCAACCATTTGCATTAACAATTCAATCAAATGATCCTGTACAAGCAAAGTTAAAAGAAGGATCAGGTAAAGAGAAAAGCAAACATTCCATGATCAATATAAACTTTGGGAAAATATTTTGTTTTAGCTAATGAAAGTTTAAAAAGTACATTATCATCACATGCACAGAATGTAGGTGAAACAATACTAGTTACATGTTTTGGTTCAGGTCATTGTCCTGGTTCAGTTATGGTTTGGATTGAAGGTGAACATGGAAATGTTTTATTTACAGGAGATTTTCGTCTTTATCGTGGACAATCGAAACGTATAACACATTTACATCGACGACGAACTGATAGTGATAATAAAGATGAAACATATATATTTAAACCAATTAATAATCTTTATATTGATATGACATTTTTTCGTCCAGATATTTTACATATACCAACAAGAGAAGTTAGTTGTGAAGCACTTATTTTATGGATCAAAGGTTTAGTTGCTGACAAATCCAATACAGCTAATATTTATTTTAAAACAAGGTATAATATTTTTACTATGAATAGAAAATTTCATTAAATCTGTTTTATTTTTTTAGCGCTCGTGTCGGTTATGAACAGATATATCGAGCTTTATACGATGCTTTAGGAATGCGTATTCATGTTGAACAAGGTCAATATGATTTTTATTCTTGTTTACCAATAATACAAGAATGTTTAACAACTGATCCAAATACAACACGTTTACATGCATGTCGTACATCAGCATCAAATTTTGCACAACCTTGTTCCTTTTTTCGTAATTGTGATAAACCTATACGTGTATTATTATCTATTATGTGGTTTACTGATCAAATAGCTGCTGGTATAATTGAAATGAATTGTAAGATATATATTCATTGTCTTTTTTCTTTCAGGCGAATTATTAGTTGAATATCATAAATATCATTCAAATTTTGAACAAAGTGTCTCAACATCTAATAAACGTTTTTTTATTGGTTTTCAAGATTATGGTGGTGACGCAATTGATGTATCATATTCTGATAAATATTTAAGTTATCGTTTATGTTATTCACTCCATTCATCATTTTCTGAAATAGCTGATGTATTAAAAACATTAAAACCCAAACGTGTTACCCCAATCGCAGCACCATTTACATCTCAAATGACACCAAAACGTCTTTTTCAAATTATTGATCATTATATCCAAGATCCTAAATCGAATACAAAAACAACAACTATGATAACAACAATGAAATTAAATGAAAAAATACAACGAAAACCAATCAATCAAAAATTACAAATCAAACATCGTTATGAATCATTTCAAACAAAATCCGAAAGAAAACGAAAAAGGAAATTAATGAAAGAACAACAACAAAGAAAAGATGATAATGATGATTTAGATTTAGATATTGATAATGATACAGAAAAATTACTTTTACAACGTGTTAATTCATTGAAAGAAGTTAATACAAAAAAAATTAGCACAAATGATTCAAAACTAATAATTCGATGTAAGTTTTCTATTTGAAATATAAATACTTATTAATTTTCTTTTTTTGATTTAAGCAATTTCATTGCAATTACCAAAAATTCAAGATGAAAAATTAAAATTCGAAAGTGATTCACAAGTTCAAACATCGATTGAACCGAAATTTGAAGAAAATTTGCAATCAAGTCAGATCAAATCCGAAGAAATACCTGATTTATTATTAACAAAAGATATTCTTCCAATTTCAATAGATCATCCTATTGAATTATTATGTACAGCTAGTAACCGTGAACGTACATTGTCAGATGCATCATCAGATACAGTTGATTACGATTTTGATAGTGAAACATGTACAGCATTTGTATCAAATTCTATTGATAATTAAATTTTTTGTTTTTGTTTTTGTTTTTCTCAGGAATAATTAAATTTTAATATAGACTTTTTTTTGTAGATTATTATGGGTTCTATAGCATTAACTGTTCTTACATTAACTCTTGGCATGTTTTTTATGTTTGTTGGTCAATTTAAAGTTACACCAAAATTTTTTCCTGATATACATGAAGATATGGTAAATAAGAAAAAGCTTATTTTGCTAAATAATTTATTTAAATTTTCTAGAGACGAGAATTTGGTCGTCTTAATAAAGTATTTCCATTGTATGAACAAACAGGTTGGCGTCCATTTGCTAAAAATTTTCGATTAGCTGTTGGTATTACGGAATTTGTTTGCGGAGCTATATTAGTACTTATACCAGGTAAGTTTTAAGTACGAAAAAAACAAAAAATTCAATTTTTTTTTGCTTAGGTCGACTTAAACAATTAGCGAATGTAATTCTCTTAATGATAATGTTAGGTGCTGTTTATGTACATTATATGTTACATGATAAATTTGAACGTATTGCACCTGGATTAGTATTTAGTCTGTTATTATTAACTCGATTGATTATTCATCGACAAGTAACACAACGTGAAAAACGCTCAAAGACAGAAAAAAAACCGGCGAAAGTTGATAAGAAACCAACGAAAGTTGAAAAAAAAGAAGAGAGCGAAGAAGAAGAAGATGATGAAGAAGGAGTCGAACAAGAATCGGATGATCAAGAATCTCAAAGTGACAACGAAGATAAACATGATAAGAAAAAGAACAAAAAAAATAAATAACATAGTTGACTTTAATTATATGCTATATATATACATATATATATATATATATATATTGTGATGTGCACCTTTGTCTTTGTCTTAACTAATTCATTTATTTGTTGTTTTCTTTTCCTTTTTTCTATTACATTCGACAAAAATTAGATTGATTATTATTGCATGTTGTTTTACTGATTTAGATGTCTCATAAACTTTGGTCACCGCCTTCAGGCGCTCATACAAATATTGATGATTTTCGGAATATTATTACGAATAAATATCGGGTTCAATTGGGTATAGAGAAATTTTTTTTCGAATATGATATATATGAATATATTTGCTAAACTTAGAATCCTATTGGGATTTGCATGAATGGTCAATAAATAATATTTCGGAATTTTGGGAAGAATTTTGGATTTATAGCGACATTAAGTATTCAGTACCGTTCGAACAAGTATGTTCATCATGCATTATCTTTGTTTTCTAAGTATATTTAATAATTATAATTAATCTAGGTATTAGAAGAAAAAAAGAAAATGAATGAAATTCCACGTTGGTTTGTCGGTGCACGATTAAATTATGCTGAAAATTTACTTCGTTTTAATGATGATCGAGTCGCCATTTATTCTTGTAGTAAGTCAATATATTTTCTATCAGTTAAATACAAAAAATAGAAAAATTTTAGCTTTCTAAAATAGTTGTATGATTAGAAAAGGTAAATCTAATTTTTTCCATAACACACTCGATATTTAATCGATCAGCTTATAATCATAGATGACGGATCTGACATAATTTTTTTGCAAATAATTGATTATAGAAATAATGTTATATGATTTTTATTATTGATTAATTTTATAGGTGAAGGAAATTCAACAGTAAAGAAAATGACATTTGCTGAATTAAATGAAAATGTACGTCGTTATCGTGCAGCACTTCAACATGTTGGTGTTACAGTTGGTGATCGTGTTGTAGGTAATTATAAATTCATAAGAATTTAATTATATGTATATATAATACGTATCTTATTCTTATAGTCTATCTTCCAAATTGTCCTGAAGCACTAATTATCTGTTTAGCAACAGCTAGTCTTGGTGCAATATTTAGTTCTGCAGCAGCAGATTTTGGCGTACTTGTATGAACATATAAAATATCTTTACGAAATGAATAAATTTTGAATTTCTAGGGTGTAACTGAACGTTTCAGCCAGATTGAACCTAAAGTTATGTTTGGTTGTAATGCTGTTGTTTATAATCGAAAAACTCATGATTCATTAGTTAAACTGAAAGATAGTGTACTTGGTAAAATAAATAATTTAGATAGAAATTATGATTTTTTTTCTTTATTTTTTTAGCATTACCATCATTAAAATATGTCGTTGTTATTCCATTTGTATCTGATTATTCAATGGATCTTAGTGAAATTCCAAACAGGTTTTTCATTCGTATTTATATTAGATTTTTTTCATAAAAAGATAAATTTTAGTCTACCAATTGATGAATTTCTTTCGATGCCTGCTGATAAAAATATTCCATTGGAATTTGAACAAGTTCCATTCAATCATCCATTATTTATTATAAGTATTCTTATATTCTATTTATCGTATCTTTATCATTTTTCTTTGATGTGTTTACATGTACTCATCTGGCACAACTGGTGCACCAAAATGTATTGTTCATGGACATGGTGGAACATTATTAAATCATCTAAAAGAACATCGATTACAGAGTAATATGAAAGATGGAGATATTTTATTTTATTTTACTGGTAAAAGATAAATTTTCTTTTTTCTAAATACCAAATTTAAATTTTTTAGCTGTTTCTTGGATGATGTGGAATTGGGTAATGAAAGATTATTTTTTTATGAAAAATTAAATCAAAAATTTTATTTAGTTAATTTCATCAATTGCACTTGGTACACCCATTGTTCTCTACGATGGTTCACCGATTGTACCTGATTATTATCGACTTTGGGATTTAGCAGATGAAATTGGGTATAGTTTTTAAATAATATTTTCATAATGAAAATGCTTGTGTTGTTAGTTAATTTAAAGTGTTATGAAAAACAGAGTATTCAGATAAGAAATTCTTACGATAGATATAAAAGATTAGAACATTAAAAGATAACATTCAAAGTTCTTCATTTTAAGCAATGGAAATCATACTAGCAAAAAGTCATAACCTACGATAGAACATAGTGCTTTATGTCACTGAATGTAGTAAATGAAGGCAACATCCGTACAGGAATTCTAATAGAATGAGTATCCTTACGATTTAAAATGTTACTAAATAAAATGAAAGGTTTTTTTGTACCCTCGTTAGATCGAAGAACTATGAGTGCAAATACTATTTCTAATATTTCATGTAATTTCCAACTCAAAACGATTGACTTGATAATGTGTTAAGAGGCCTGTCGTGTTCTGGGAAGATGATCCTCCCGTCTGATCTTAAAAGATTCGCGACAGCCTTATAAGTAAGAGTACGAAAAGTGTTAAATTTGACTGATCTACTCTTCTTCTAATAACAATCATTTATCATTTCAGTCTAACATGATATTTCGATCAAGGCACTAGGATAAAAATTCTTTTCATACTTCTCCATTATCTAATTATCACAAAAATAACTAATGTAAATATGAATGTCTATGATAATTCAATCTAGACGATTTATATTTCTACTAATGATACAGATCAAATAACCCAATCGTGATATTTCATATAGTTCGAAACGATTAAAAGAAAATTTTTAACCAAATAAATTTTATTTCTATTTAGAATAACTATATTCGGTTGTAGTGCACGTTATTTAGCAACATTAGAAGAACATCAAATATCTCCATGTACACATAATAAACTTGAAAGTGTTCATACAATTTTATCAACTGGTTCACCATTACATAGTCGAATATTTGATTATGTTTATACGAATATTAAAACAAATGTTCTATTAGGTTCAATCACTGGTGGAACGGATATCATGTATAGAATATTTGATTTTTCTATCACAAAAAAAAAACAATTGTTTTTTTTTCATTATATTTCTATTAGTTCATGTTTTGCTGGTGTTAATCCAACATTAGATGTGCATCGAGGAGAAATACAATCTCCACATTTAGCTATGGCTATTGAATGTTGGTCAGAAGATGGTATAGAATTAATTTAGATTTTGTTTCTTGAAAAATAAATTTGATAATTTTTTTCAGGAAAAAAGTTAGAAAATGATAGTGGTGAACTTGTTTGTACGAAACCATTTCCTTCAATGCCGGTTTCATTTTGGAATGATCCAAATGGTGAAAAATATCATCGAGCTTATTTCGATAAATATCCTGGTTTGCTTCTTTTCTTTGCTTTCTTTTATTATTAAAGCTTTTATTATTTATAAAGGTGTCTGGAATCATTCTGATTTTTGTCTTATTAATTCAGTTACACGAGGCATTGTTATGCTTGGCCGAAGGTTGTTTTCATTTAAACTATTGTTTGTTTTTTGTTGCAAAATTTAAATTATTATATTTAGTGATGGTACTCTTAATCCTAATGGTATACGTTTTGGTTCAGCTGAAATCTATTCTATTGTCGATCAATTTAATGGCGAAATTCTTGATAGTTTATGTGTAGCACAACGTAATCCTACAACTGATGATGAACGTGTTATACTTTTTGTTAAAGTAAGTTAACAAAATAAGAGAGAAAAGAAAAACAAAAAAAACATGACGAATATTTATTCTTTATTCGGAAACGTAATGTTTGATCAATCGAATAATATAAAAGAGAGATGTGTTTTTAACTAGATAGAATTACCATGAACAAATAAAACTTTTATTTTGTGTTTATTTTTAATCATACAAAAATTATTTTTTCTTCTTTCTTAAATATTCATCAAACGCTTAATTCTATATCGTCGTCGTCGTTGAATAAGAGAATTTAATGGAGATTGATTGAAATAATAACTTGTTTCATCTTCGCCATCATCATCTATGCCATTACTATCTTCATTTGGTAGTTTGTCTAAACGTGAATAATAATCACGATAAGAATTTTCTCGACGAACGAGTTTTATTTTAAATGCATCATAATAATCTTTAACAGCTTTAAGATAAGTTTCAATTTGTTCTTTGGTTTTAAAACGAGCCGGTCTTTCAGGTGGTGGTGGAATATCAAGATAGGATGATAATGCACATGAAACAAGTGCGACAAATAACAGGATAAAAATGCACGTATTGTTCATTCTAAAGTAGAAAATAACTTAGTTTCTTATTTTCAACACGTATTTATGAAAAGAAAAGAAAATCTGTCGATGAATATAACTCCTACTTTAGTAGTAACAATTAGACTAAGGAAGCTAACATATCGTCAAAACTCTTCAGGAAATGAATCTCATCTACTC